CGTCAGTCCCGGCCTTCGTGTTCGCGTGGCGTCCTTCCCGTGTCTGTTCGCGGCATCTCCCCCGGGGCGTGTTTGTCTCTGTGTCCAAATTTCCTCTTTTCCTAAGTCACTGGATGAGGGCCCTCCCCAGCGACTTCTTTCCGACTCGCCCCTGCTCTGAAGACCTTGTTTCCAAATGAGCTCGTGTTTTGAGGTGCTGGGGCTGAGGGCTTGCACATATCTGTGTTTTGGGTGGGGACTGGGGGTGACGTTCCCACCTGTTCTAGGCAGCATGCCTCCTGCAAACCCCGGAGTCAATTTTATATGGTCCTCACCACAGGGTTTCAAAGTGGATGATCTCTCTTCTTTTGTGGGAAGGCGGGACCGTTGGTTTTGGAATCACTGGATTGTACGCTGCACGACAGAAGGGTTGCAGGTACATTGCAGAGAGTCCCTCACGTGCACAGCCTGTGTAACAGCCGGGAAACACTTCGCACCGCTGGGGCCTGCCATGGTGGCCCACGCCTGTCATTCCAGCACTTTGGGAGGCCACCGTGGGAGGACCACTTGAGGCTAGGAGTTGGACACCAGCCTGGGCAACAAAGCGAGACCTCATCTCTACCAAAAAACGAATAGCTAGGGATGCTGGCATGTGCCTGTGGTTCCAGCTACTCGGGAGGCTGAGGCAGGAGGATTGCTTGAGCCCAAGAGTTCGAGGTTGCAGCGAGCCACGAGCCACGATCAAGCCGTGGCACTCCTGCCTGGAGACAGAGCAAGACCCCGTCTCTAAAAGCAAAAGTGGAAACAAAACAAAATACTAAGAAAGAAATAGCCTCGCTGAGCTGCCGGCTGTCTTTGCATTTCCACCCGTCTTCTGCTAATGTCTGGTTGCTGGTCCAGGATCGGATTCAGGTTCTCGCGTGGCGTCTGTGCTCACGTCTGCTTAGTCTGCAGCCGGTGACAGCATCTCAGCCTGTCCTTGTTTCTCACGACCACAGTGCTTTTGAAGAGTGCTGGTCGAGGCTTTCTTTGACAGGTGTTTTCTCCGGGTAAGACTCGGGTGGTGGGTTTTTGGGGAAGAGCAGAGAGCGGTAAGGGGGCTGTGTGTTGCCGACATGATATAGGGGCTTGCCCTGGGTCTTCCCGGTCCCCTGAGAGTTTTCCCTGCTTTGCTCTGTTCTTTACAAGGCAGTCACCAAGTCCCACCCACCTTCCAGGGGAGGGGTGTTAAGCTCCGCCTCTTGGAGGGAGGGATGTAAAGATTTGTGGCTGTAAGTTAGAGCCACCGCCATGATTCGTACATACTTGAGGGAAGATTCTTTGAGGCTATGCAAATTTCCTGTTGCTCCTTAAAATTTTGCCAACCAGTTTCGCATTCAGCCCGGATCTTGCCAGCGGTGCTTGGGTTGTGACGGCGCTCTAATGCCCACGTTCTGTTTCCCTCACTTCTCAGACACGTGTTCACTGAACTCGAGAAGAAGGCTGTATCCCAGATTCCCCCCCCCCTTGTTGATGTGTTGAATCATGTGTTTATAATAACATGGTCTCGGGGTATTTGTTTTACTCTTGGGACCCTCGTCTGGCCCAGGGTGACATGTCACTGCGCTGTCCCAGCTCTGGCGGTCGGAAGCCTCCAGGCTGCGTTCTGTGTCCTTATGACCGTTGTTTTCTTTTGTTTTTGGCAATTCTTGGCTTCAAGTCACCCTGGGCTCTTCTTGCAAACTTCCTGGCCGGGCCCTGGATCCAGCAGCGTCTCCAGGCGGTACAGGGTCTGAGGTCTGGGGTCCGGGGCCTGCGGTCCGGGGTCCAGGGTCCAGGGTCCAGGGTCTGGGGTCTGGGGTGGAGGGTGGGATTCGCCGAGATCTGGGTGCTGCTGTGCTCCTGGCTCCGGGGCCCCACGCTGCCTCTAGGTGGTCACAGCTGTCTTTTGCATAAAAGATGGTGGGTGAAAAAGTTGAGAAGCTGGATACTAAAGAGAAGAAACCTGAAGCTAAGAAGGCTGATGCTGGTAGCAGAGTGAAAAAGGGTCACCTCCAGGTGAAAAAGCCCAAGAAGGGGAAGCCCCATTGCAGCCGCAATCCTGTTCTTGTCAGAGGAATCGGCAGGTGTTCCCGATCTGTGTATTCCAGAAAGGCCATGTTCGAGAGGAAGTGCTCAGCGGCTAAATCCAAGGAGGTTGAAAAGAAAAAGGAGAAGGTTCTTGCAGCTGTTACAAAACCAGTTGGTGGTGACAGAAACGGCGGTACCCGGCTGGTTCAACTTCGCAAAATGCCTGGGTATAATCCTACCGAAGATGTGCCTCGAAAGCTGCTGAGCCACGGCAGAAAACCCTTCAGTCAGCACGTGAGAAGACTGCGAGCCAGCATCACCCCGGGACCATTCTGATCATCCTCACTGGACGCCACAGGGCAAGAGGGTGGTTTTCCTGAAGCAGCTGGCTAGCGGCTTGTCACTTGTGACTGGACCCCTGGTCCTCAGTCAGGTTCCTCTGCGAAGAACACACCAGAAATTTGTCGTTGCCACCTCAACCAAAATTGACATCAGCAACGTAAAAATCCCCAAACATCTTACTGATGCTTACTTTCAGAAGAAGCCGCTGCGGAAGCCCAGACACCGGGAAGGTGAGATCTTGGACACAGAAAAAGAGAAATACGAGATGACAGAGCAGCCCAAGATTGACCAGAAAGCTGTGGACTCACAAACTTGACCCCAAATCAAAGCTATTCCTCAGCGCCAGGGCCACCTGCGATCTGTGTTTGCCCTGACAAATGGAATTTATCCTCACAAATTGCTGTGTTAAATGTCCTAATAACCTAATTAAATAAACGATTACCTTTTGAAAAAAAAAGGAAAAAGACCAAACCCTTTGCCCTGTTGAAACTCCCAGGACCCTGTGGGGCTGGCCCTGCCGGGCTGGCTCACAGCCCCTGCCCCGTCCTCTCTGCCCCTCCCCGGCACCGCGGGCTGGCCCGTCTTCTTTCTGTCTGTCCTTCCCTTCCTTCTGGATCTTCCCAGAGCGGGGTCCTTCTGCTGGCATAGATCCCAGCCCAAGGTCAAGGCCATCTCCTCTGGGAGACCTTTCTACACCACGGCCCCCCACGCCCCTCCCCCAGCACTCTGTAGCCCACCATTCTGTTTAAGTTCCCAAATCCAGGGTTATCTTGGCCATCTTGCTGACTGTCCCTGTCACCTCTGTGAGGGCCCTCAACTGTGTCTTGCCCCCCGCTGTGTCCCCAGCAGCTGGCACATAGTAGATGCTCAGTAAACCGTTGTTGAGTAACAGAAGATGAAGCTGTGATGCCACCGATTTCAGATGAGGAAACGGAGGGCTTCTGAGGTGGGCCCAGAGACAGCCTGTCGTGAGATGAAGGGTGCTGGTCCTGGCCTGTGGGACTGAGGACCCCTGGGGCCCGTCCTGGCTGGGGTGGGCGCCAGGCTGATGGAAGGTGGGGAGTCCTGGCTGAGGCGCCACCAGAATGACCCAGGGACGGAGGCGGGTTCCAGGCCCTTGAGCCCCATGAGGCTTCGCTCGTCCGTCAGTGCCTGGAGTTCCCTCCTGTTCCTGTTTCCAGGGGGGCTGGGGTCCTGGGGGCTGGACAGACGTGGCTCCCCGTCAGCGGCTTTGGAGCTTTGAGGGGGTGCAGACACTGCTGAGAATATGAAGAAGGCGGGGGTCCCCTCCCCAGAAGAGTGGGTGCCACTGTGTGCCCTGGCTTGGGGACAGCAAGTTACGGTGTACAGCAGGCTCCTAGGCGGCTGTGGCCCCAGGCTCAGCGAGGCCAGCTGCAAGCCCCGCTTTGTGTGGTGGGGACTGCGGGGAGGGTCTGGGGTCCGAGTGCGGCGGCGGGCGGGGGTGTCCTCCAGCCCTCACGGCAGGGGCTCTGCTCTCTGGGGCTCCCTCCCTTGACCGTCTCGAGCTCTCTGTCCCCTTCCTTTGGATCTTGTCTCTGTCTCCCTGTCTCTGCTTCTCTCTGTCTTTCCCTCTCCCAGTTTCATTCCTCTGAGTCTCTGTCCCTTTTGGACGGCGTCTCTCTGGCTGCCGCGGTCTCTCTGACCCTCCTCACTGTCCCCGGCAGTCTCGTCTCTGAGCCTCATCTCCAGGCCTCCGCCCTTTCTTAGATCTCATCTCTCTGTCTCTCTGTCTCTCCCCTTCTCCCAGTCTCTGTCTCCCTGTCTCTCTCTCTCTCTGGGCCTCTGTCTCTCTCTTTCTGGGTCTCTGTTTCTCTCTCTCTGCGTCTCTATCTCCCTCTTTCTCTGGGTCTCTGTCTCTGTCTCTGTCTGTCTCTCTCCCTCTCTCCCTGGGTCTCTGTCTGTCTCCCTGGGTGTCTGTCTCCCTCTCTCTGTGAACCTCTGTCTCCCTGGACCTTCCCGCTTCCCGGGGAAGCTGCAGTGGTATGTGCAGCCTGCTTGGTTGAGCCTGTGGCCCCTGCCTGAGAAGTCTGAGCCCCCCTTGGGGGTTTCCTGAAGTCCAAGCCTGGTGGCCCCCCACCTACCCCCACCCTCCCTGTGTCCTTCCGGGTGCAGCAGGGCTGGCTGTGCTGGAGGCTGTCACTGCACCGGGTTGGAGCCAGCCCCGGGGACACCCAGGCCACCCTCGAACACCCTCTCTGTGGTCACAGCAGGCCTCGGGCCGTCCTCCGGCCTGCACTCCTGGTGGGAGGCTGAGGCTGCTTCTCTGTGAGCCTTTCCCTGGGCAGGTGTGGCTGCCGGCTCGTGTGGCTGGCTCGTGTGGCTGCCGACTCGTGTGTCGGGGCGGGCAGCGCAGGCCCCCGGCTCTGGGAGCCCTCCTGTCTGCACGCGGGGCTCGACCTACATGTTGGGGCGGAGTGCGGCCTGGGGTGCGGGGCAGGAGGGACGAACACTGGCAGCTCACGGGTCTGTCTGGGGGTCCAGTACGGGCAGGTCTTACCTCCCTGAGAACCAATAACGGGGCAAATTTGGGGGTCGCTGTCAGCAAAGAGGATGGCGCGGGCTGGCACCTGAGCCTCCCGGTGACTGTCTGCTGCTTCCGTCCCTCGCAGAAACCAGGCGATGCGGAAGAAGCTCATCTTGTACTTCAAGAGGAGGAACCACGCTCGGAAACAATGGGTAGGTCGGTGCGCGGCCCCGCGGGCTCCCTGAGATCGGGAGGATCGAGTCCACGGGAGGCCACACCTGCCGGGGCCTCCAGGTTCCGTGTGTCCTCACGGAGCACCCAGGCCGTGGAGGAAAAGCCACGGCGGCAGGAAAGGAGGAGGGACGGCCGCTGCCTCCAGAAGCCCCTGGGCGGGCGGGCGGGCGCTCCGCGGCCCCTCTTCCAGCCTGGAAGGGAAGAAAGCACAATGTTGGCCTGGAGAACAAGGTGCCAAGCTTCAGTCGCAGGACCTGTCCTGGGTGCTTCCTGCAGAAAGAGAGGTGTTGGAGCGAGGTGGAGGATCGGGGGCTATGCTGGGCAGCAGGGGCCGCAGGCCGCACCCTTACACACGAGCCTTTCCTGGTGCCCCAAGCCTGCGCTCCTGGGCAGCGCCTTCACCCAAACAGAAGAGGGTGCTGACCCCCGCGTCTGAGCCCACGGCGGCGAGGCTGGGTGTGCCAGAGGCATGTGGGGGTGGGTTAGGGTAACTGCACGTCACCGATTCCCAGAGGAGATCAGGCTTGAGTGTTCTCCCAGCCGGCAGGGGAAGAAGCGTGGACTCAGATGGGCTTCGACAGGAGAGGAGCGGCGCAGCTGGCAGCGTTGTTGGGGGTGACTGCAGGAACAGTCTCTCAGGTCAAGTCTTGCCTTCACTTCGCTTCCTTTATTTGTTTTTGAGACGGAGTCTCGCTCTGTCCCCCAGACTGGAGTGCAGTGGTACGACCTCTGCTCACTGTAGCCTCCGCCTCCTGGGTGCAAGCGATTCTCCTGCCTCAGCCTCCTGAGTAGCCGGGATCACAGGCGTGCGCCACCACACCTGGCTAATTTTTGTATTGTTAGCGGAAACAGGCTTTCACCATGTTGGCCACACCGGTCTTGAACTCCTGACCTCAGGTGATGCACCTGCCTCGGCCTCCCAATCACAGATGCTCTGATGAGGCCAGGAGAGGGCACGGGTCCTGTGAACCAGTGGCCGATGCCAGGGAGATGGAGTGAGGCCACCTGGTTTTGGCTCATGGGACCTTCTCTAGAGTTGAGGATGATATCATTGGCTCCACCCAAGCCACGGGGCTGCTGGGACATCGTGGGGGCTGGGATAAGGCTGGGGAGGCCCTGAGACGGTCCCCGCCTGGGGAAGAGGTGGGCTGATGGGGACTGCTGCCTTGTGATTCTTGGACAGGAGAAGCGGCAAGGGCTGGGAACTGGGTTGGCTGGAGGGTGGAGGGGCTCCCCTCACACCTGCAGCCCCCGCCCCAGGCACCCCTCCACTCTCCCTGAGCTGTTTTGGGGTGGGGCCTGTGAGCCAGCTCCCTGTGGGACCTTCCCTGGGTCAGATCTGCTGGGCGCCATCCTCCAGAGAGGTCCCCCGGGGCGCGGGGGTGGCTCAGTCATGCGCAGCCTGCAGGTCGGTGGTACACAGTAGGTGACAGCGGTGCAGCTGGACCTGAAACGGGCCGGGGCAGAACAGCGTGTGGGACACCAAGCTGACCAGATGCCTTCGGGGCCTGGGTGCTGGCAGTCCTGGAGCACTTACTGTGTGCGAGGGGCACAGTCGCTGTGACGCGGGCCCTGTCCTCAGACCTGCAGGCTGCAGGGACAGATCGTGTGTAAGGATGAGGAAGGATGCCCGCACAGCCTGCCCTTCCAACGCCTGTTGCGTTCTGGCCGCTCTTCTGAGTGCTCTCCATACATAAGAGCATTTAGTCCTGGGAGCTGGGCACTTGCTCAGCCTCATGTTTCAGATGAGGAAATTGAGGCTCAGAGAGGTTAAGTAACTTGCTCTAGGTCACACAGTTGGGAAGTGGTGGAGCTGATATTTGAACCCAGAGCACCTGGTTTCTTAGCCTATGCTCTGAACCCCCGAGGGGCAGTTCCGAGAGAGCCCAGGATAAGCACCTCAGAAAAGGCATCAGGCATTTAGGAAGTGAAGTGTGTGCAGGGGTGGAGACAGGCTAGACAGAGGGCACATGGGAGGGTGTGTGGGGTGCGGTGGTGTGCTGAGCTGCCACACGGCAGGGCTGAGCAGTGGCTGGGGAGGGGGACACCAGGCAGGCATGGGGTCCTGGGCAGGTGTGAGGCCACGTGGGCCAGGTGACAGGCTTTGCTGGGGCAGGAGGTGCTGGCACCTGGCTTTGGAAGGAGGGGTGGTACAATGTGGGAGGAGGGTCTTCCCTTGGCCCTGCCTGCCTGCCTGCCCTGGCCCTGACCTTGGCTGGGCACTAGAGGGAGGAGACACTTCCAGCCAGACGCTGGTTCCTGGGAAGCTGTGGGGCAGCCCTCGGGACCCAGGCTCTGCTCAAAGGTGAGGAGAGGTGACTGCCCCGCAGTGCCTTGCCCAGCTTCCTGAGACCCCTGCCTTGACTGGATGGTGCCCACAGGCACTGGGCCCGGCGCAAGAGGCTCTTGAAACGAGCATCCCGTCCATACCCACGAAGGTGCCGGGTGCCCAGGAGGCACAGGCCAGGAAACAGACCCAGCATGTGGGGAGAAGAGCTGGGCAGAGAGATGGGCTGGGGGATGGGCTGGGGGATGGGCTCTGGAGATGGGCTGGGGACCTCAGTGCTCAGGTGGGAACAACCAGAAAGGACTGGCTTTGTGCAGACCCGGGAGTCAGGGTGTCATGCAGAGGGCGCTGCAGGTGCGGAGGCTCCAAGGCTGAGCCAGCTCAGGACGGCACGTGGCAGGAGCCGGGTCACCTGGAAACATCTGCCCTCCAGCTAGGATGGGGCATTCAGCTTTGATTCCAAATGCAGTGAGACACCGCATTTATTCTTAATACGTGTATTTGTAATAAAGAATCCGAAGTCCATTCTAAGAAATTTGACAGAAGCGTACGAGGAACACCTATATACCCACAGCCTAGGATCAGCCAGGGTCACCAGAGCCTTGTATTTGCTGTGTGTGTAACGCGAATATGAATGTGTTTGCTGTTGCACTACTGGAAGAGGAGGGTGCAGAGGCCCCGCCCTTCAGCCCTAGTGAACACTGCCACTGGGCCGCCTGTGAGGAAGGAAGTCCTCGCATTCCACACCTAAAATGACTGACTACCAGTTCAGCACCATTCTTGCCCCCAACCCACCTTTCCGCCCTTGGGGTGGAAGCTGTCTGGGAGGGCTGGAGAGGATCTGATTTCCATTTAAAAGGATCCCTGCAGCTGCTGGAAGGAGCTCGTGCGGGAGGTGGAGCTGGGTTGGGCATGAGCGCTTTAAAGATCTCCAGTGGCTCCCTGGGGGGCCTTGGAGGGGTTGGAGGGCGAAAGCAGCTTATTTAAAGCTAGAGGAGAGTCAGGCAGAAACCAGGGACTTCTAAGCAGTTCACGGTGGCTCGGGGCCCTTCTTAGGAGAGATGAAAATAACTTCAACAGCCCCTGATGCTTCGGTGGCAATTGGGATGGTGGGATGGTCTCTTTCTTGTTGCATAATAAGCCGAAGCCCCCGACTTCATTGATTTCAGTAAGGTCTGGGGAGAGGGCTTGGCCAAGACCTCCAGGGTGCCTGTCCCACCCCCACAGACCGCCCTCAGACGCAGGGACCCCCGCACCTCAGCGGATTCCTGGGACCCACCTCTTCGCAGAAAGCAGGGATTTGTTCCTGTCACAGGATGTTTCGCACCAACAGCCTCCAAGCCTGCCGAGTCTCCTGGGGAGCTAGGGCGGGGGTGGTGGGGACTGGAGGCCCACTGGCTGAGAGGCTGGCTCAGTCTGTGCTCCTAGAGGCAAGGCTGAGGCCGCTCCTTTTCCTTGACCAATTTGTGCTCCCAGCACCCTGTGGACTAGCTGGTGGGGGGAGCTCCAGTCTCTCCTTGTGTGTGTGTGTGTATGTGTGTAAGACAGAGAGAGGGAGGGAGGGAAGGGAGGAAGGGGTCTGCTTCCTCCCCTGGCCGGCCCAGCACTTTGGGAGACTGAGGCAGGTGAATCACCTGAGGTCGGGAGTTCAAGACCAGCCTGGCCAACATGGAGAAACCCCGCCTCTACTAAAAATAGAAAATTAGCCAGGCGTGGGGGCGCATGCCTGTAATCCCAGCTACTCAGGAGGCTGAGGCAGGAGTGTCGCTTGAACCCGGGAGGCAGAAGTTGCAGTAAGCTGAGATCTCGCCATTGCACTCTATCCTGGGTAATTAAGTGTGAAACTCTGTCTCAAAAAAAAAAAAAAAGGAAAGGAAAGAAAAAGAAAAGTAGAAAAACCCCAATAAGCAGCTTCCTCGCTGCCCAGGCCGGGCCAGAGCTTCCTGCCCTGCACTAGCCAAGGCTGGCCGAGTGCACACCTGGCACAGTGGACATAGGCACAGGCTACAGCAGGCAGCATTGTGGTTGGACCTGGAGGTGGACTTTCTTGTCCTGGGTAGAAGGCAGAGCCCGGTGCTTGGGGTCATAGAGGTAGCGGGATGTCCTCTCATGGATGCTCCTGCTGGGGGCCTTTGCCTCTCCTGCACTCCACGAGGGACCAGCTAGAGCCGGAGCCTCTTGCCAGCACCCCGCCCACCCCTCCACATGCACAGGCTGAGGCCTTGCTGGCCAGTAAGCAACCATACCTGTTGGTTTCCCCGCTGGTACGCATCATGTGACTCTGCTGGCTTGAGGCGAGCTTTTCTCACCCAGGGCCTGGGGCCTGTCGGATGGGGGCCGGGGTGACGTGGGCGGGTGTTGCCGTCCCTGCAGTCACCGTCCCTCGCTGGGGCTGTCAGCCACCACTTCTCCGAGCACATGTGGCCATTATCTGTTGCCAGAACCGCCCCTTGATCTCCAGCGGGTTCCTGGCACAGCCTGCATGCATGGGGTCAGGTTCAAGGCCGTCCAGCGCCAGCCTGACCACCCCGTGGGTATCGTCATGCCCATGGAGCTGTTGAGAATGGAGGGAACAGCTTGCCCTTGGTCAGAAGCTGAAATACAGGATGGGGGGCACTGGGCTGTCTGGGCTCCAGGACCAGAGAGGGGCTTTCTGACTGTGCCGAAGCGTGGAGAGGGTGTGTGTGGAGGCTCCCAGGCCACACCGTCTGTTCACCCCCAGCTGTTAGAGGTAGGGTAACTGGGGTTGCGTGGGTGGCCAGACATCTCCCTGCTTGCTCAAGTCACCTTGGAGACGTGGAAGCCAGGCAGCTATGTTCCGGGCCGATGCGGGGTCTCTTCTCAAAAGGACATGCAGCAAGCAGCATGCAGTTAGATGTGGAGACGGACTTCCTTGTCTTGGAGGGAGCTCTGTGGGAGCTGCTGGGGTCCTCCCAGCTGGGCCTTGGGGTGAGGCTGGGGGATGAGGAAGTGCCTGGAAAGCGGTTCTCTCTGGAGGGTGCCCCTCCCTGGGCCTGGCAGGCGCCCGCGCCGTGCCGCACAGCACAGCTTCCTGCAGTGTGGCCGTGGGCTCCGTCGGGATGTCTGGTGCGGCCGGAGCCCCAGCCACATGTGGCTGCTGGACACGGGAGGGCGGCTGGGGAGGACTGGAGCCTGGCTCTTACCTCTTACTTGATTTGTGATTGCAGCCACATGTGGCTGGTGGCTTCCGTTTGGGACCAGACCTCTGTAGAGGAGGCCAGGACTGGGTGGCGGGCTCACCAGGAAGGGTAGTGCCCATGTCCTCTGGGGGAAGTCTGTGGGTTTTCTTTGGGGGCCCCGGCCTGCTGGATATCCATGCAGCTGTGTGCCTGTGTGACATGTTTGTGTCTATCGTGTATCTACATGTGTGACTGTGTGTGTCATGTCTGCCCGCGTGACCCTGTGTGTGCACCTGTCTGCCTGTGTGTGTGTGTCATATGTCTGCCTGTGTGTGTGTGTGTCATATATCTGCCCGTGTGATCCTGTGTGTGCACTTGTCTGCCTGTGTGTGTGTATGATATGTCTGCCTGCATGTGACCACCTATGTATCTGTCTGCCTGTGTGACCATCTGTGTGTCTGGCTGGCTGTGCGAATGATATACCTGTGTATATGTGTGTGTGTGTGTGTGTGTGTGTGTGTGTCTGGCTGGCTGTGTATCTGCCCATATGACTGTATGTCTGTCCTGCCTGTGTGACTGTCTGTGTGACTGTTTCTGTGTTACTTATGTGTGCCTGTGTATGTGTATCTATCTGCCTGTGTGACTGTGCCTGTCTATGTGACTGTGTCTATGTGACTGTATGTGTGTATCCATCTATGTGTGTGTCAGTGTGACTGCATGTGCGTGTCTATGTGACTTGTGTATGTGTCTGTGTGTGTATATCCGACTGTATGTTTATGACTGTGTGTATATATGACTGTATGTGACTGCACATGTATGTGTCTCTGTGTGTATATTGTATATCTGTATGTCTGTGACTGCATGTGTGGGTCTGTGTATCTGTACGTGACTGCACGTGTGTGTGTCTGAGTGTGTATCTGACTGTATGTGACTACACGTGTGGGTCTGTGTGTATATCTGACTGTATGTCTGACTGCATGTGTGTGTGTATATCTGACTGTATGTGCCTGCACGTGTGTGTGTGTGTACATCTGTATGTCTGTGACTGCATGTATGTATGTCTGTGTGTGTGTATATCTGACTGTATGTCTGTGACTGCATGTATGTATGTCTGTGTGTGTGTATATCTGACTGTATGTCTGTGACTGCATGTGTGTGTGTATATCTGACTGTGACTGCATGTGTGTGTGTATATCTGACTGTGACTGCATGTATGTGTGTGTATATCTGTATGTATGTGACTCATGTGTGTCTGAGTGTATATATCTGACTGTCTGTGACTGCGTGTGTGTGTCTGTGTGTGTATGTCTGACTGCGTGTGTGTGTCTGTGTGTATATCTGACTGTATGTCTGTGACTGCATGTATGTGTGTATATCTATGTCTGTGACTGCATGTGTGTGTGTCTGTGAGTGTATATATCTGTATGTCTGTGACTGCGTGTGTGTGTGTACATCTGTATGACTGCATGTGTGTGTGTGTATATCTGTCTGTGACTGCATGTGTATGTGTGTATATCTGACTGCATGTATGTGTCTGTGTGTATATATCTGTCTGTGACTGCATGTGTGTGAGTGTGTATCTGACTGTATGTCTGTGACTGCGTGTGTGTGTACATCTGTATGACTGCATGTGTGTGTGTCTGTGTGAGTGTGTATATCTGTGACTGCATGTGTGTGTCTGAGTGTGTATCTCTGTATGTCTGTGACTGCATGTGTGTGTGTATATCTGACTGTGACTGCATGTGTGTGTCTGTGTGTGTGTGTATATCTACTGCATGTGTGTGTGAGTGTATATATGACTGTGACTGCATGTGTGTGTGTATATCTGTATGTTTGTGACTGCATGTGTGTGTCTGTGAGTGTGTATATCTGACTCTGTGACTGCGTGTGTGTGTGTATATCTGTATGACTGCGTGTGTGTATATATCTGTATGTCTGTGACTGCATGTGTGTGTGAGTGTGTATATCTGACTATATGTCTATGACTGCATGTGTATGTGTATATATCTGTATGTCTGACTGCATGTGTGTGAGTGTGTATATCTGTATGTCTGTGACTGCATGTGTGTGTGTGAGTGTATATCTGACTGTGACTGCATGTGTCTGTGTGAGTGTATATATCTATGTCTGACTGCATGTGTGTGTGTGTATATCTGACTGTGACTGCATGTGTGTGTGTGTGTATATCTGACTGTGACTGCATGTGTGTGTGTGAGTGTATATATCTGTATGTGACTGCATTTGTGTGAGTGTGTATATCTGACTGTGACTGCATGTGTCTGTGTGTGTGTATATCTGACTGTGACTGCATGTGTGTGTGTGAGTGTGTATCTGACTATGTCTGTGACTGCATGTGAGTGTGTATATCTGTATGTCTGTGACTGCATGTGTGTGAGTGTGTATCTGACTATCTGACTGTATGTCTGTGACTGCGTGTGTGTGTGTACATCTGTATGTCTGACTGCATGTGTGTGTGTGAGTGTATATCTGACTGTGACTGCATATGTATGTGTGTATATCTGACTGTGACTGCATGTGTGTGTCTGTGTATATCTGTCTGTGACTGCATATGTGTGAGTGTGTATCTGACTATGTCTGTGACTGCATGTGTGTGCGTACATCTCTATGTCTGTGACTGCATGTGTGTGTGTCTGTGTGAGTGTGTATATCTGACCGTGACTGCGTGTGTGTGTATATCTGTGACTGCATGTGTGTGTCTGTGTGAGTGTGTATCTGACTGCATGTGTGTGTGTCTGTGTGAGTGTATATATCTGACTATGTCTGTGACTGCATGTGTGTGTGTATATCTGACTGTGACTGCATGTGTGTGTCTGTGTGTGTGTGTATATCTGACTGCATGTGTGTGTGTGAGTGTATATATGACTATGTCTGTGACTGCATGTGTGTGAGTGTGTATATCTGTATGTCTGTGACTGCATGTGTGTCTGTGAGTGTGTATATCTGACTATGTGACTGCATGTGTGTTGAGTGTGTATATCTGTATGACTGCATGTGTGTGTATATATCTGTATGTCTGTGACTGCATGTGTGTGTGTGAGTGTGTATATCTGACTATGTCTGTGACTGCATGTGTGTGAGTGTGTATATCTGTATGTCTGACTTCGTGTGTGTGTATATCTGTATGTCTGTGACTGCATGTGTGTGTGAATGTATATCTGACTGTGACTGCATGTGTGTCTGTGTGAGTGTATATATCTGTATGTCTGTGACTGCATGTGTGTATATCTGACTGTGACTGCATGTGTGTGTGTGTATATCTGACTGTGACTGCGTGTGTGTGAGTGTATATATGACTATGTCTGTGACTGCATGTGTGTGAGTGTGTATATCTGTATGTCTGTGACTGCATGTGTGTATATCTGACTGTGACTGCGTGTGTGTGTATATCTGACTGTGACTGCGTGTGTGTGTGTATATCTGACTCTGTGACTGCATGTGTGTGTCTGAGTGTATGTATTTTTATGTCTGTGACTGCATGTGTGTGAGTATGTCTGACTGACTGCATGTGTCTGTGTGTGTGTATATCTGACTGCATGTGTGTGTGTGAGTGTATATCTGACTGTATGTCTGTGACTGCATGTGTGTGTGTGTATATCTGACTGTGACTGCATGTGTGTGTGTGTATCTGTATGTCTGACTGCGTGTCTGTGTATATATCCGTAGGTCTGTGACTGCATGTTTGCACGTGTGTGTGTGTATATCTGACTGTATGTGACTGTATGTGTGTATATCTGTATGTGACTGCATGTGTGTGTGTGTATATCTGACTGTGACTGCATGTGTGTGTGTATATCTGTATGTCTGACTGCGTGTCTGTGTATATATCCGTAGGTCTGTGACTGCATGTTTGCGCATGTGTGTGTGTGTATATCTGACTGTATGTGACTGTATGTGTGTATATCTGTATGTGACTGTGTGTGTGTGTATATCTGACTGTGACTGCATGTGTGTGTGTATATCTGTATGTCTGACTGCGTGTGTGTGTATATATCTGTATGTCTGTGACTGCATGTGTGTGTGTGTGTGTGAGTGTATATCTGACTATATGTCTGTGACTTCCTCACAGGAGCAGAAGTTCTGCCAGCGCTATGACCAGCTCATGGAGGCCTGGGAGAAGAAGGTGGAGCGCATCGAGAACAACCCCCGGCGGCGGGCCAAGGAGAGCAAGGTGCGCGAGTACTACGAGAAGCAGTTCCCCGAGATCCGCAAGCAGCGGGAGCTGCAGGAGCGCATGCAGAGGTGAGCGGGGGCAGCGCCAGGCGTCCTCCGCAGAGGCAGCCCGGCCGGGGTGAAACAGAACAGCGCAGCGGCTGGGGCCTGGCCAGCCTCTGACGCGTGTCACGGGGCGCCTGTTTGGCCTAACGCTTGCTGGGAACTGGACCTTAAATCCGTTTTGTGGCAGGCACTCCTGCCCTGTGCCACAGCCTGCACCTGCCAGCTTCACTCACGTGGGGCCTGCATGGCCCTGAAGGCGGCTGAGTCTGAGATCCCTGGTGTGGGGCAAAGGGGAGAGACGTGGCTAAGGGATCAGGCTGCCAGCCTCCCTTAGTGGCCGTGGGGACTGGGTGGGCCCCGTGTCGGGAGGTGCCTAGGGACAGGCCGCTGTGGTTCTATGGCCATTTTTCTTTGGCTGCACAGACGAGACAATTCATTTGTAACAATAACAGCTTTCACCCTTAACTGAACTCACAAGCCGTATCTCAGTAAGTTCCTCACAACGGCCCTCGGCAGCTGGGTGCCACTTTTTAATCCTCACATGATGGGGGGACACTGAGGTACAGAGAGAAACACTTTGCCCCAGGGCTAAAGAGGCAGAGCTGGGCTTTTCAGGGCGTTTTTAGGAGAGCGGAAGGGACTGAGCTGCCCATGTCACAGGGTTTGGGATTGCTAGGTTGGGGTGGGGGCTCCACGTCTCCCCAGGACCCCTGGGTGTAGGGCTGGTCTCCTCCTCTGGGGAGGGCATGGGCTCAGGGCTGCGCTGTGGGGGCCTGTCAGTGTCCCCGGCCACTAAAAGGCCGGTCCTGAGTGTGTCCCTTTGGTCCCCAGCAGGGTGGGCCAGCGGGGCAGTGGGCTGTCCATGTCGGCCGCCCGCAGCGAGCACGAAGTGTCAGAGATCATCGATGGCCTCTCGGAGCAGGAGGTGAGTCCAGGCCCTGGCTCCAGCCTCAGCCCCACTTCCCCGGCGGCCAGAAAGCACCTCCCGGGTGCCTCACACCAAGGGGCTTACCACCAAAGTGCGGGCAGAATCAAGGTGGGTATGGAGGTACCCAGGACTAGCAACCTCAGGAAGCTGAGGCCCATCCCAGGCCTGCAGGGGCAAGTGGAGAGAGGGGTGTTAGCGGGTCCGAGAGGGAGGGTAGCAGGAACCCCCGCATGCAGGGCCCCAGTGCTCCTGGATGCCAGAGCAGGGAGGAGGCTGGGGAACGAGGACCCAGCCTTCATCACCTGCCTCCTTTTGGAACTTCCCATTAGCTGAGCCCAACCAGACGCCCAAGGGGCAGAGGTGCCTGTGGGTTCCAGGATCAGCTTTCTGGGGCCCAGAGCCTGGCAGGGTGAGGGGAGCAGGGGGCAGGGCGATGAGTTCCTAGCACGGCAGCTGTCCACACAGCCATGACCTTCGCACAGGAACCTCAGGCCTCTTTGGGTTGCTGGGACGCCCACAGGTCAGCCTAGGTGACCCTGGCTGCCGTCACTGGGGTCCCCAGATGGCCAGGAAGCAGAGGGGTGGCCTTGTCTCCTGTGGAGGGGGTTGGTATCAGCCTGTCCCCTCCTGGGTCCTGTGGGTCAGGCATCCATGATGACATTACCTCCTGTTCCCAACACCACTGCAGACACCAGGCATGTGCGGCCCGTTTCTTCCTCGCTGGGGACTTTGGTCCAGGGAGGGCTTTGTCCAGATGGGAGATTAGAGCCCTCCAGCTGAGCACGGCAGAGCTACACATGGCTATTGAAATCCAAATTAATTAAAATGGGATAAAATTAGCAGTGCAGTTCCTCGGTTGCCTCTGACACGTCTCGGGAGCTGGACAGCCGTGTGTGGTTGGCGGCTCCCCTCCCGGACGGCACAGGCAGTGAGCCCCTCCCTGGCTGCAGAAGGCTCTGTTGGGCAGCAGAGCCGCTGCCCTGTGATGCCAATGCTCAGCTTGGACCGAGCGGAGGGCTCCGGGAGGGGTGGCTGGTCTGAGTTGCAGTGTCTCCCCAGAGGTTCCCATTCAGCTGGTCTGGGGTAGAACCCAGGAATCCGCATTTTTACCCGGCCACCCACATGCTTCTGACGCAGGCAATCCAAAGACGAATCTGGCCATTAAAGCATGATTTTTCATTTTAAAACTTCTCGTGGTACGTTTTTGTTTATAACAACATCGAGTTGACAAAAAGCGGCACTCAGAAAGCCGGGGCCTGGCCCTCGAAGGCCTGGCACCAGAGAGGACATTTCGGCCCCGGCCTCGCTGACGTCATGTACTCATGAGCATCCCGCAGAGGTGGATGTGCATTCGGTATGTGCTGGGAGGAGGAGGCCGGGCCCTCTCCTCTGCGTTCACCTGATGGCCAAGGGTGTGGCACCGGAGACAGCTGTTACACTCACACACACACACACACCAGCCACATGGGAATGCAGCCACGAGAGTCCTCAAGGGCGTCAAGGACGCTGTGTCCGGGGTGAAGGGTGGAAGTGGAATTTGGGACAGAAACTTCCCAGCCAGCCTGGGGTGACCTGAGTTCCCGGGAGTGTAGGGGGGGCTGGGCCGGCGCAGAGGCACTTGCCATCCCTGTGGGCCTTCTGCGGTCAGAGCACAGGCCTGGCACGGGAAGGACAGGAAGGCAGCTGTGGGAGGCGGAGCAGAGGGCCTGCCAGGAATGATTCTGCTTGTGGCCATGCCAGGGGTCCTGCCATTATTACGTCTCTGAGACATCCGAGGAAGGTCGGTGTTCTGTATGGGGGGTCGAGAGGGCAGTTCCAGGGGTCTGGGAGACAGATGCTGGCCTCCTGTGGGGGGGCTCCTCTCCCACTCCGGGGTCAGAGCTGTGTCCCGCACCTGGTCTGTGGCTGGCAGTCCTGGACACTGAGTCAAGAGGTTGGGTGTGGGCGGCCGGGCGGCCGGATCGTTTGAACTGGCTGACTTTGGCTGTGCTGAGCCCTCGCCTGCCTCCGGAAATGGGTAATTAATCGCCAGTAATTGGCTGGCTGCGAGATTTGGGGAAGTGAGCCCAGCTGAGTGGCGGCTGGGAGCCTCTTAATAGCCTTCCCGGTGCATTAGCAGCCGCCTGGCTCCTGCCGCCCTTGGGGCCAGGCAGTCCGGATCCCAGGTGGGCCCTTTGACAGGGCGGCTGCCAGGAGGGGGCGTGGGGTGCAGGGGAGGGAAACGCTTCGCTTCACCCGGGAGGTGGTAGACCCTCTCTGCGCCCCCGGGCTGCCTGCATACCTGCCTGCATACCGTGGGGGCCGCCGGCCCCGGGGCCCACTCCTGCCTGCTGAACCTGGAAGGCCGGCCGTCTCCGGCTCCCTGGGCCCAGCTTGGCTGAGCATCCTTCCTGCAGTTTTATGGCGCTTGCATTTCCAAGAGGAAGATTCATGGCTCCCCTCCCACCACTGAGAAGGCGGCGGCTGCTCCCTGCGTTTAATCTGCAGTCCTGCCCACCATAAACCAGTCGGGAGGCCTTCGCGCTCTCCCTGCCCCCAGAGTGAGCTATTATTGCGCTTAAACTCATCATTCTCCTCCTCTGTCGGATTTGTGGGTCTGCGTTTTGTTAGGTTTTTCCTGCCCTGGCCCAGAACATCCGCACCCTCTGTGCCTTCCCGGAGCACCTCGCCCCCGGGCACTCTGACCCTGCCCTCTGCTTCCCTGCAGAACCTGGAGAAGCAGATGCGCCAGCTGGCTGTGATCCCACCCATGCTGTACGACGCCGACCAGCAGCGCATCAAGTTCATCAACATGAACGGGCTCATGGCCGACCCCATGAAGGTGTACAAAGACCGTCAGGTCATGAACATGTGGAGCGAGCAGGAGAAGGAGACCTTCCGGGAGAAGTGAGTCCTCCACCCCCTGGCCCGGCCTCCCGGCCCTCCCTAGCCCCAGAAACCCATCCTGCGGAGGCCTGCGCTGTCTCCGGGGCTGCCACCACAAATGACCACCCACCAGGGGGCTTTGAACTGCAGGAATTTGCTCTCTCCTGGTTTTGGAGGCTGGAAGTCCAAATCCTGGTGTCGGCGGAGTCGGTTCCTTCTGGGAGCCGTGAGCCTGTCCTGGCCTCTCCCCAGCCTCTGCTGCTGCTGGCACCTGCGCCTTCCAGCACTTCAGGACGCATCCATCCACACTCCGCCCCCGTCCCCATGTGCCCTTTGTCTCTGCGCTTCCCTCTTCCTGTAAGGATGCCACTCACACTGAATTCAGGGCTAGCCTGGCCCGATACAGCCTCACTCGAAGCACATCTGCAGAGTCCGCATTTCCAGATCAGGCTGCATTCAGAGGTTCTGGGGGGCCATGCCTTTTCTGGGGACACACTTCAATCTAGTACAAACCATAAGGGCAGCCATGTGCAAGACGGGGCGCTGAGAGTCGGAAGGACGAGGCAGGAGGGACAGAGGCTGGGCCGCAGCCGGGGCAGGGCCCGTGGCTGGCCAGTGGCTTTTTGGCGGCTTCTGTTTTGTTCTGTCTTTGATAGTAGCTGCTGGTTGGGCAGGTCCGTGATTCCGTTGCTATGCTGGTGTCTTCTCGGCTTTGTGCGTCCCCCCCCCCCCCGCCGTCCCTTATGACAGCTCACCAGGCCCACCCCAGTCCACAGGTGATGACGCAGAGCCTCAGAGAGCTTCAGACAGCGCGCAAAGGCCGCACAACGGAGGCGGGGTTCAGACTCCCCCAGCTGGAATGGAGAGTCTGTGTGGGGAAGGGGCTGTGAATGGGGCCAGGGAGGGGCTGTGCAGAGCAGAGGTGGGGGTGGGGGGAGTTGGGTTCTGAGAGGTGAAGCTTGTTGGGGGGCCCCTAAATGATGGAGTATTTGGCACAGGTGACTGTGGAGGTACCAGGTGGAGAAAGGCCAAGACTTGAAAGTTGTTTCCGAGGGGGTCAAACCCCACAGTGAGGGTCTGCGATGTGACATCCAGCCAGAGGGAGACTTCCATTCCTGGCCCGGGCCCCCCAGAGGAGATGGCAGGCCCTGCTGAGCCACCCCACGCTCTGGGGACAGTGTGCGGTAATTCCGGGAAGTCTAATCTTTTGGCTTCCCTGGGCCACACGGAAAATATGCTAACTAATACTAATGATAGCTGCTAAGCTAAAAAAAAAAAAAAAATCACAAAAAAATCTCATCATGTTTGAAGACAGTTTACGAATTTGTGTTGGGCCGCATTTAAAGCCGTCCTGGGCGCATGCGGCCTGCGGGTTGGGACAGGCTTTCTGTGATCATGGAAAGGGCTGGGTTCCCTGCCCAGGTCACAGAGCACCTCCTCAGGTCCCCAGACCTCCGGGAGGCAGGAGAGTGGGAAGCTGAGGAGTGGACGGAGGTCCCCGTGCTTGCCCAAGAGGGCGTGCTGGGGACAGACTTTGCCCTGTCCCTGCCTGACGTCCACCCGGCAGGCCACTGAGCCGCCTTGGAGAAGGCCCGGCCTCCAGACCAGAGCTTCCTCCCAAGCAGTGCCGCTCCATGCCCGCTCCCTGCTGGGCTGTCTCCACCCTAGGCCCTGCGCTTTGGTCCAGGGTTGTGGCCCCAGAGAGGTTCCAGGCAGGACCCGAGGGATGGATGAGGTGACTCTGGGTCCCTGGCTGGTGTGGGCAGGCAAGTGCCGATACTGAACCTCAGAAAGGACGTGGCGGTGTTTCAGGTGGGTCTTTGGTGGAAAACTTTTTTTTTTTTTTTTTTTGAGACGGCGGAGTCTTACTCTGTCGCCAGGCTGGAGTGCAGTGGTGCGATCTCGGCTCACTGCAACCTCCGCCTCCCGGGTTCAAGCAATTCTCTTGCCTCAGCCTCCCAAGTAGCTGGAACTACAGGAGCATGCCAACACGCCCGGCTAATTTTTGTATTTTTAGTAGAGAAGGGGTTTCACCATGTTGGCCAGGCTGGTCTCCAACTCCTGACCTCGTGATCTACCCACCTAGGCCTCCCAAAGTGCTGGGATCAAAGGCGTGAGCCGCTGCACTTGGCCGGAAAACATTTTTTAAGAAGAGCTTTTGATGATGGAAACGTTGAAATCTCCATGAAAGGAGGGGTGGGGTCGTGCGCCCTTGAGTGCCCACAGCACAGACCCAGTGGTCCTGCACGGCAAGCAGCCTGGGTCCAGAGCAGGAGTGCTCGGCTCCGTTGTGGCTCGTGCCTCCAGCATCGCCATAGCAGGCCCGATCTCTCTACATCAAATCGAATTCTCCGTTGAATGCTTTTTACAGTTTTAAATGAGGGAGATGCTGCTGGGACAGTCATGGGTGTTAAGATTAGCACTCGGTATTACAATTCCCCCGGTAGGCATGATATTTTAGTGTATTTATTTTTTCTGAAAGACAAAAAAAAAAAGATGTTCTGGGGTGCTTTCTGTGGCTTCAGCCTGTTGGAAGACTTTGTGTGGCTCTGCAGGTCTGATATTCCACCCTCTGTTAATTCGGTGGCTGAAGAGCCGGGGACCCGGGCTGGGCTGCTGTCTGCCGGCCGTGGGGCTGGCGCACCTTCCACCCTGTGCGAGCGCAGCTTCGCCGCCTGCGCCCCTCAAGGAGCATGGGCTTGGTTTGCGGTCTTGTGTGCAGAGGAATCGATGGAACTTGGGGCTTTGAAAAGCGCCTGCTGACAGCGTGGGGCTCTACCATGTGCTGGTCATGTGACCATTGCCCCTGTGAACCTCGGTTTCCTCCTCTGTAAAATGGGCATAGCAACGGTACCTTCCTTGTTCTGCTGTGGTGAGGTGCGCAGGGCATAGGAAACTGAATAAACTTCTTCAGCGGGTGCAAGTGAGGTCTGGGGGGAGAACAGGTGACCTAGGAGATTTCCAAGTTTGATTCCTGGTCTCTTGGGAGCCCCCAGTGTGCCTGGGGAAGCCCCGTGGGAGGAGTTGGCAGGGCCAAGGAGAGGGATCGGAGGGAAGGACTCCCCTGTCTGGAAGAGAAGGGCTTTAGGATGGCTCTGGCCTCGCCAGCCGCACCGAGCGGGATCCCGGGCGGGGGAAGCATGCCGTTCCACCGGGAAGAGGGCAGAGGCCGTTCAGGATCCTCGGGTGTTGGGCTGGGAAGCAGGAGCAGCGCCTGCTGGCCTCCTGCCCCACCATCTGGAGGGCCAGGCAGGTCAGCACTGCTGCTCCCTCAGTCTCCCTCCATGGGAGCCCACGGTCCAGCCTTGCCAGCAGCCACTGCTCTCCCGGCAAAGGCCGTGGGCTGTGGCACATCGCCTGGGCGGGGCCAGGGACTCCACCCAGCACCCTGGGGGTGGGGCAGGCCTGACCCACATCCCTGCCCCCACGCTCCGCTCCTTTGGCCCTCAGATTCCAGCCTGGCCCAGCAGTTTCCCAGTCATTCTCCTGGCTACGCAGGAAGCCAGCTGGGATGATGCCAGCGCCCCGCCACCGCCCTCCGACTTACGTCCATACTTGCTGCCTTCTTGGCTGGCCAACCCCTCCTGCCTGCCCCACGGGCACTCAGAGCCTCTGCTCCCAGCTCTCCTGGGGAGGACCCAGCAGGCTGTCGAGCCGCGACCAGGCTGGGGGGGGTCCTGCCGTGTTCCCAAGCAGACCCCGTGTGGGCCGGGCGAGGCCCTGCTTCCTAGATCCAGCTGGAGAGAAAAACAAAAGCGGATTTTAAAAGGGGGGGAACCCCACCAAAGAGCTGTATGTCATGTCCTCATTTTTCCTGGAAGCCGCCTCCAGCAGGACAAACAAATATATTTTCAAAGGCGCTAAAGCCAGTGACTCACTCCAAGGAACGCCCTCTCTTACCCCCGGGTCCCCACCCCTCCCGCCCGCTGCAGCAGCCCTCCCCACACCCCCCTGGGCTTAATTGCTCCGAGTGGGGCGGTGCCCGCCAGGCCCGGCCAGTGGAGATGGCAGGCGCCTGGGAGCTGATCGGCCGCCCGGCAGGGAAGCCCCCCGCAGCCGGGTCTCATGCCCGCCCGTGTCTCCCCACAGGTTCATGCAGCATCCCAAGAACTTTGGCCTGATCGCGTCGTTCCTGGAGAGGAAGGTGAGTCGCCGCCTGCCCTACGCTCCTTCGGTCTCCACCTCCGTGGACAGCTGCGTGGACTTGGGGTGGAGGCCCTCCCTCCCTCCCTGCCCGCGAGGCCCTGGCCCGCTCGGCCCCTGGCTCTGGCTGCCATGCTTCCCTCCTCCCTCCCTCCCTCCCTCCCTTCCTTTCTTCTGGGAGATCAGTGCAGGCCCCGCCCTGGCCTCCTGGGCCCTTGGGGGAGGAGCCTCAGGTTGCTGAGTGCCTGGGAACCCCGGAACCCCCAGGAGAGCTGCGTGGCCAGGCTTCCCGGAGCCCCCGGTGCCCACCTGGCAGGCCCTCCTGCCAGCTCCTTAAAGGCTGCGTGGAGCGTCCCCACAAACCGGGGGTGGGTTCTGGAAGCACTGCCTCGCCTGGCGTCCCGGTGACGTCTTCAGAGGCAGGAGGGGCTCGCTTCACAGGGACTGGAGAGAACAGCTTTTCTAGGTCCCTCTGAGGGACACTGACTGCTTTCTGACACCCCTAATGCCAAGCCAGACGTGTGGCCTACAAGTCCCCATCTTCTTTGGACAAGGCTTTATGTGGAAGTGAGGCCTAAAGCCCACGTGGTGCCAAACCCAAGCCCGGAGCTGCTCCAGTTGGCCGGTAGACAGTGTCCCCTGGAGAATGAGAAGACCGTCCTTCTGCACCCGCGAGGCTGGTGGCACTGGGCCTGGAGAGGCTGCAGGTGGGGAGCAGGTGGCTGGAGGAGGCTGCGTGTTGGACGTGGTCCCCGGGCCTTCCCCCAGCGTCCTGGGGTCAGAGGAGAAAGGCCACCTGCGACAGCTGCGTGGAAGGCCGCCTGTGTCTTCAGCAGCATTCCCCTGAATCGTGTTTTGAGAGAAGGAGCTGCCTGCCCCGGCCCGGTGGCCACCCTGCGTGGGCTTCCTGGTTGTAGGAGGGAGGCCGGGAGGGTGAGGCAGTCCTTTGCAAGGACGGCTGATCCCAGGCGCCTGCCCGTCGTGAGCTGATAACCGTAGAAGGAGAGGGACGGAGCAGTGTGGGGAAAAATCTCTCCATGCCTGAAAAACCAGTGTGGAGAAACAAGCCCTATAAATAGCCCGTCTCCTGAGTAAGTGACGACGTCTCCCTAGAGGAGTGGACGGCACAGTGGACTCTAGGTTAGGGCTCCCCGACATGGAAGCAGGGCGTTTCAGAAATTGGCCAGTGAGCAGTCCTCTTTCAGGACAAGGGGCTCAGGCGGCTTTGTGCCGGGGGTAGACTTCATGGTGTCCTTTGGCTGAGAGGCAACCGAGGACGAGGCTTCAGTGGAGCTTCCAGAAGGGTCTGGAGCAGGAGCTGCCAACGGAGAGGCCGGTGGGGCCAGGTGGGCCCTGACAGTGAGTGAGGCTGACGTCTGGCCAGGAGCCAGGTGGACCAGCCAGTCTGTGCCTGTCTGTAAGGGCAGCTGCGATCCAGAGCCGGGCTGTCGTTCCTGAGCGCAGGAAGGAGCGCTCCTGAATTGTTAAAGGAGCAGCCGGGCACCCACACCCCCTGAATTGCAAATATTGGCATCTGCTGACCAAATGTCTTTCTCGATTGCTGTGTGGGTCCTGTCTGTGGGCAGGGTGTAGCCCGGGGCCGCCTGGGAGCACCTCTGGCGGTGGTGCCTGCCAGGAGGCCGCCAGCTGGGGGCTTTTGTTGAGGGCAGTGAGGTTGGAGGCCCAGCCCAGAGGCCTCACAGAGTGCCCCTCGGAGGTGGGGTCCTGGCTTGGCACTGGCCAGAGTGTTGCAGAAACATTTGACATTGTCGGGGGAATGGCTGTGGGCAGTGGCGAGCTGGGCTCCAGGCCCGCAGGTGGGGACGTTGTGGCATCACGTTCTAAGGCTGGCGCCATTTGGCCGGCGTTCCTGGAGGGCTGGCTGCTCCGGCTTTCAGACCCAGTCTACACAGAAAAGACCGAGGCAGAGAAGGAAGCCCAGGAAGAGGCCTGTGGGACATGGGGTGGTGCCGACATGCAAGGCTTGGAAGAGGCTGTGCAGGAAGAGGAGGCTGATGCCAGGGAAAGGAGAACCCGGACTCGTGTTTGGGCGAGGCCTTGAGTGTGCCCAGCTGTGGGCTGGAGTCCTTACTTCCCATAAGGGCTGGGGGTGATGCACGTGACGTCAGCGCTGTCATTAACTATGGCAACGGCAGCGATCGTGATAGCAGGCAGGACTTCCATCATGTTTACTCCGGGCCGGGCTTCGTCCCAAGCACTTTACCTACGTGTTAACTGATCTGATCTTTGTGATAACGCTGTGAAGTATGTACAATTAGCATTCCCATTTTACAGATGAGAAAACTGAGACACAGAGGTTAGGTCATCTGCCCGAGGTCACCTAGCCAGTACGTGGAGGAGTCGGAATCTGAGCCCAGCCTCCTGGCTCCCGCTCTGAATGCCCGAGCCATACCCTGCTCAGCGTCCCTTTCTCTGTTCCACAGACGGTGGCTGAGTGCGTCCTCTATTACTACCTGACCAAGAAGAATGAGAACTATAAGAGCCTGGTGAGGCGGAGCTATCGGCGCCGTGGCAAGAGCCAGGTAAGAGATGAGGCGGGGGGACAGGGGTTGTCCTTGGAGTCCGGCTCCCTGCAGGCTCAGTGGCCACGTGCTCGGTGCCCAGCGCCCCGTGTGGCTGGCGGTAACCGTCTCCACGCGTTGTCCTTGGAGTTGTTGGCTGCGGCAGTGTGATTGCGGGCTCCCCTCCACGGTGGCAGCAGGTCTGGGGAGACCCCCTCTGGGGGGCTAACCCTGCCAGGCTATCTCAAGCCTCCCCTAGAGGACAGAAGGAGAGCTGGGGAGAAACAGCCACAGGCCTTCTCAGCCTGCAAAAGCCCGGACTCCTGGCTGGGTGACCTGTGATCTCCGTGCGTAAAAGGACCGCATTCCAAAAGTAAGGGCTTCCCAGGATGACTTGGGGTAGTTCACAAACTTCATGTGTTTAAAATGTGAATGGTTGTGCATGTTTATCTTAATGCATACTTGAAAGAAAAAATAGCCAGTACTTCAGCTCGCCGTGTTTTCCGACGCTGTTGCTTGGAATGAGACTGAAAGGTTATTTACACTAGAGCAGGGGCTGGCCAACTGGGACTCTGGGGCCAATCCGGCCCACCATCTGTTCTTGTGAATAAAGTTTTATTGGAACACAGCCATGCCCGTTTGTTTACATATTACCATGGCAGCATCCCTGCTGCTCTGGTGGAGTTGCTGAGTCATGACGGAAAGTGTATGGCCTACAGGATCTCAAATGTTTACTATCTGTCTCTTTGTAGAAAAAGTCTGCTGACCTCCGAGTTAGAGGAAAAAGGAGTTGGCTTGAGAAAATATTCAGGAAATGATGGTAGAGATGAGAGGTTCAGTGGCACACCTTTGAAAGGGGGATCCTGGGCACTCGGTGTTTGGGAGAATTTGTTTTGTGTCTGGGCTCTCGAGGCATCAGCTCAGAGCAGATGCTGGAAGCATGCACAGAGGAGGCGGGCGGAGGCGGTGGGCACTCTGGTGGCTGCTGGATTGGAGTCGATCGAAGCATTTCCTTCCCGGGGGCCCGGCGAGTGACGAAGGGCAAGAATAGCATGAGCTGGGATAAGGGGACCTCAAGGTTTTCCTAGGTGGGTACTCTCTACGTTGGCATCCCCTAGCCCCTCCCCAGAGCTGCCTGCCTTCCCTCTCCCAGGCTCTCAGAGGTTGAGACCCACAGGGCAGAGAGCAGCCATCACGGATTTGGGGGTGGGGGGTTCCCAGTGTCTGCTGTGAATCAGCCACTTCCCGACAGCCTAAGAAACTCCCCAAGCCACCCTGAGCCGCATTCCCAACATCCGGCCACGGTGCGGGGTGAGCTTGGTCTTCACATGCAGGGATTGCGGAAGGGTGGCCGAGTTTGGCTTGCAGAGAGGGTTTTCCTGTCTAGTTTTCTGTAGCCAGAGTTGGCCAGTCTGCTCGCTCTTCTAACAGATATGTCAAACCAAGAGTGAGTGGCACAGAGTGTGTATTCCAAAGATGTAGCTGTGGGGTGTGTGTGTGTGTGTGTGTGTGTGTGTGTGTGTGTGTGTGTGTTTGAGATGGAGTCTTGGTCTGTCACCCAAGCTGGAGTACAGTGGCATGACCCTGGCTCACCGCAACCTCTGCCTCCTGGGTTCAAGCGATTCTCCTGCCTCAGCCTCCCAAGTAGCTGGGACTACAGGCGTGCGCCACTGCGTCCTGCTAATTTTTTGTATTTTTAGTAGAGATGGGGTTTCACTATGTTGCCGAGGCTAGTCTCTGACTCCTGACCTCAGGTGATCCACCTGCCTCGGCCTCCCAAAGTGCCAGGATTACTGGTGTGAGCCACCGAGTGCTATGGTGTTTTTGAAATTGAAGTGCATTCAGGAACTATCGGGACCGAGAGGGAAAAACTCAAGTAAGTGGCAGGCAGGGAGCATAGAGACGTGAGGATGAGAGGCAGCAGGGAGCGGTGGGGATTGTGGCAAAGGGAGGGTGGCTAAAGGCCCCGAGCTGTATTTGGAAAACATCCTCAGGCGTCTGCTGGCTCATTCTCTCACTGGGCTTCCAGGTCCCCTCCCGTGACCTGTGTGGGGGCATTGAGGCTGGGCTTGTGGTGGAAGCCCTTCCTGGTAGCTGGGCTGGGGGCTTTGAAGAGCAGAGGCCCATCGCCTCCCCCTGTGTGAGAGCCACATCTGCACGGAGGGAGGTGGGGAGACCAGGGTGGTTTAGGGAGATGGGGGTGTTGACGCCCTGCATGTCCTGTTGTGGTGGCCTGGCTTGTGCCCTGGCAGAGTGCGTGTCCAGTGGAGTGAGTGTCGGGCTTGCGGACTCATCCGTCCATTGGACACTTACTGTGTGCAGGCATAGGGAGCTCCATGCTGGTTGTAAACAGGTGGCTTCAAGTCAGTGCTGCACGTCTCCCTGGGAGGCGGTGTTGAGGGGGCCATCCTTGAAGACTCCACAGAATAAAGGGCCCCAAAGAGGAGGTTGAGGAGCAGCCCCACAGTCGGACCAGGATGGGGCCCTCAGGTGCAAAGGCAGAGAGCATGGGAGACAGCGTGTGTCTTCAGGAACAGCAGGGAGCCCGAGTCTTTGGAATTGAGAGGGTCCTGGTACCTCCCAGGGCCTTAAATGAATGCAGAAATGGAGAAAATTATGTGACCCTCTTTCTTTTGCTCACTTTTGATGGGTAAATAGAGATTGTTTTTACCCTGTGAAAACAGAAGTGCCAACTCGATAAATAACAGCGCACACTTGACTTCACTGTCTATGGGAGGCAATAGGGAGTGGTGAGGCCTGTGGCTAACTATAGCGCTCAGGCGCCTTCTCAGCTCCAGCCGACGCTTGGCCAGTGGCCCTGAATTTCTAGGTGTTCTGATCTTTGTTGGGAAGCTGGACATCTATAGTTTTGTACTGAAATTGCCAGATTTTAAATCTCAGATCACATTGCAAAAAAACGGAAAGAAAAACAGCTAAACGCTGTGTGAGCCACACAGCTCATCCTGGCTGTTGACATGACCCCCCGCCGCTGGAAGAAGACCTCTGGGTTAGACTGTGGAGGAGGAGATTCTATCCTTGGGCCGGGCTGGGGCACCGGGGAAGCCCTAGAACGTTCCACAGCAGGGAGGACGTGTGCCCCTCTGTGCACCGTAGGTGTCCTTGCTTAGCCGTGGTGTCTGCAGTGCCTGGGAGTTGGTGGGGCTTCGCTGGTGAGTTTTATGCTCTGCTGGAAGTGCTGTTCCAGGCAGGGGCTCCCGGGATGGGGACATGGGACCTGCCTGCTCTGCCTCTCTCAGAAGGATGGCAGAAAGCAAGCGGGGCCGGGGGTCCCTGTGTGTCTAGTTAGGGGACAGTGCCTGTCTCCGGGGCTCGTCCCTTCCTTGGATCAGCCTTGGCTGCTAAGGAGGTGGTGGCATGGCCTGGGCCCTGCCAGGGAGGGAGCTCTACACTTGTATCCTGGAACAGCTTCTGTGCCAGGCAGATCCACTGCCCTGCCACCCCCACAGGCCTGGTTCACAACCGTGGGGTAAACAAGGGTGCCCAGGTGCTAACTCTGAGACTCCTCTCCGCCCCAGGCAGCGCGAGCAGAAGCAGCGGCAGCCTCGGGCTCAGCCTGTCCTGTGAGGTGGAGGCGCAGTGACTGCCACCAGCCGAGCGCCTCTGGCTGGCTGGGTCTGTGGAGCCATTGACACGGCTCATCAGTCCACCCGGACAAGGGCGTGCCAGGCCTGGGGTGGACCCGACACGGCTGCGGCGACAGACGGGAGGTGTGTGCGGCGGGGGCTCTGGGTGGGCCAGTGTTGTGAGCACAGAACCTGCAGCTTCTTAACTGGGCGGGCAGGTGAGCCGAGACCACCCCCACCACCCACTGCCTCCGCGTGGCCGGCAGCTGCAGGTGGGACAGACGTCTGGGACTCTGGGTCACTGACTGGGCTGGGGAGCCCCTGCCCTGTGCTCCAGGCACCACGGGCTCCCAGGACACCTTCGTGGTCCCGTCCTTCTTTCTGAGGTACTCTGGCAGCTCAGGCCTTGTGATCATGCGGGAGTCCCGGGCCGTGGCGTACACGGGCCCTGCACTGCCCCACTCCCCTCACAGCTGCCCTGGGACACTTGTCCACGCGTCTCTCTCCCTTGGAGGTTCCTGGGTGAGCAGACACAGTCCTTTCCCTCCACCGTGACACCGGCCCCTCCCCAGGCACCACGGGAAGATGGAAAACCTGGGTCTGCCCAGCAGATGAGCCCTGCAGCCTCAGGGGTAGGGTGCCCGCGGCGGGGGATGCTGCCTGCCTCTTCCCCGACGTGTTCTTGGGGGAGGGAGCTTGCGCTCCCCTCTCCGTGGCGTTTCTCTGGAGGGGAGCAGGTCGGGCTCTCCCTGCCTTCCCAGGCCCTCTAGCTTTCAAAGGAGACTTAGGTTGTCTCAGCCAGTATTCGTTGGCCCACTTGGTGGCTGAGTAGGGGACCTGGGAGTCCCATGAGACGTAGGAGCCTTGTCAGAATTCCAGGGCGGCAGCCCTGCCGTGTGGGGGGATGGGTGCTGCCAGCCCCCGTGGCGGTGATGACGATGATGGTAGCAGTGGTGCCGGCCAGCGTCACACAGCACTGTCCCTACTGCGATGATCCTGACCCCGCCGGCATTGGGGAGAGGCGTGCGATCATCCCGCTGGCCAGATGAGGAGACAGAGGTGCCAGGAAGTGAGGGAGTCTCCAAGGCACCTGCTGAGTGGCAGACTGAGGGTTCTAGTCTGGCACGCGCCCCCTGGGAGCTGGGGGGGGGCCCCGAGGCCCCCACGGTCCCCGCGCAGCACACTGGCCGTGAAGCCAGCCTTCTGGAAGCTGGCCCTGACCCTCCAGGCAGGACCACGGCTCTCCTGTGGGCTCTGCGGGGCCCTGTGAGAGCAGGTGGCAGAGGGGCTCATGGCGAGGCTCCATTTCAGTGGGGGGTTGGATGCCGGGTCGGGGGGAGCCAGGTGAGCCAGGCTCGGTCTGTGCTGTGGAGACACCCTCTGAAATGAGTCCTGAGGTGGGACATGCCCAGCTGAGCCTGCACCGGGCCCAGCACC